CAGTAAGGGGGGGGCCTCTGCATGGGGCAGGGGGTGGGGGGGGGGGGCTGAGATCTCTCCTGGCCTTTCCCTAGGGAAAGGGGAGCAGCTAGCACCCTCCTTCCTTGCCCCTCAGGGTCCTGGGGAGCCGTGGGCCACAGCATGATCTGCTGGGCACCGTTCGGCTGTTACAGCGCGGCGGCGGCAGCTGTTCGGGGGCCTTAGAATCATAGAATCATAGAATAATAGGACTGGAAGGGACCTCAAGAGGTCATCGAGTCCAGCCCCCCGCCCTCAAGGCAGGACCAAGCTCCGTCTACACCATCCCTGACAGATGTCTATCTAACCTGTTCTTAAATATCTCCAGAGAGGGAGATTCCACCACCTCCCTTGGCAATTTATTCCAATATTTGACCACCCTGACAGTTAGGAATTTTTTCCTAATGTCCAATCTAAACCTCCCCTGCTGCACTTTAAGCCCATTACTCCTTGTCCTGTCCTCAGAAACCAAGAGGAACAAATTTTCGCCTTCCTCCTTGTGACACCCTTTTAGATATTTGAAAACCACTATCATGTCCCCCCTTATCATGTCCTTGAGTGGGATCAATGGGGCAGAAGGTCTGAGCCCAGTTTTTGGCCCTTGTCACAAAGCTGTCATCACCCCTGGCCCCAGGTGGATCCCCTGGCCGGCAATGTTCCCTCCCATTTTTTCCACCCATGTGCGGAATGCATTTTGTTCTGTGCACCGAGGCAAGTGTGGCTGTGCACCACCAAGAGAAACAAAAAAACTAAGCTGTGGGTGCATTGCGGGCGACATTGGAATCTCTCTGGAGTGGCCGGCCGAGGGCTTGGCTTGCAGGGAATATTGCTGGCTAGTGCCGTCCTGGACAGGGGTCCAGGAAGGAGCAGACCCTCAGGCTGAAGGCTCTGGAGGCGGAGGCGTTGGAGGAAGAGGTTTTGCTACCGGCTCTGCAGTACAGAGTGGTGTGCGAGGGCGCCCAACCTGCTCTTCAGACAGGAGGCGTCTGGGAATGTGTCCAGGGAAACTGAGGCCCAGGGATTTGAGCTCATGGTTCAGTATGAGGTGGGGATGCGTGGAGGAGGCCAGGACAGCAATTTCCCAGGCACATTTTCCCAGGGTCTCAGCCACGAGATCTCGCTTTTTCTGGGTCCTCTCCTGCATGAAAACAGAAGTTTGTATCCAGATATAGAAGAACGGCCAGGCTGGGTCAGAGCAAAGGGCCATCCAGCCCAGTGTCCTGTCGGCCAAAAGTGGCCAGTGCCAGGGGCCCCAGAGGGAGTGAACCGAACAGGGAATCATCAAGGGATCTCTCCCCATCAACCATTCCCCACCTCTGACAAAGAGAGGGTAGGGACACCATTCCTACCACCCTGGCTATTAGCCAGTGGACCTCTCCTCCAGGAAGGAATCTAGCTCTTTTTTGACCCCTGGTAAAGTCCTGGCCTTCACAACATCCTCCGGCGAGGAGTTCCACAGGTTGACTGTGCGCTGCATGAAGAAAAACTTCCTTTGCTTTGTTTTAAACCTGCTGCCTATTCACTGCACGTGGTGACTCCTAGATCTTACGTTATGGGAACAAGTCAATAACTTTTTCCTTATTCACTTTCTCCACACCAGTCATGCTTTTATAGACCTCTATCGTATCCCCCCTTAGGCTATGTCTAGACTGCAGGCTTCTTTCGGAAGAAGCTTTTCCGGAAGACATCTTCCGAAAAAACTTCTTCCGAAAGAGAGCATCCACACAGCAAAAGCGCATCGAAAAAGCCATCTGCATTTTCCGACAGAGCATCCACACTGAATGGAGGCTACAGAATCATAGAACCATAGAGCTGGAAGAGACCTCAGAAGGCCTTCGAGTCCAGCCCCCTGCTCTAGGCAGGACCAATCCCAACTAAATCAACCCGGCCGGGGCTTTGTCAAGCCGAGACTTAAACACCTCTAGGGATGGCGACTCCACCACTTCCCTAGGGAACCCAGCCCAGCGCTTCACCACCCTCCTAGGGAAATAGTTTTTCCTAATATCCACCCTGGACCTCTCCCACCGCAACTTGAGCCCATTGCTCCTTGTTCTGCATCCGTCACTACTGAGAACAGCCTCTCTCCATCCTCTATCTCGCATGCACCTGTGCTTTTTCCTCTTTCCTCTTTGTTTTGAAAGAACTCCCTCTTCCCCATCCTCACTCCATCTTCAGGAAAGGGTTTCTTCCTCGTAGAAAGAGGTTTACCCATGTTAGAAAAACCCCGAAAGAACGCGATGGCCGTGTGGACGTAAGTGACGTTTTTTCGGAAAAACGCCTGTTTTTCTGAAAAATCTCTGCCGTGTAGCCATACGCGTAGTCTCCTTTTTCAAGTCCCAAGTGTTTTTCTTCTGTCTTTTTCATCTCTCTGCCGATGGGACCTGTGTTCCAAACCCCTCCTCATTTTTGTTGTCCTTTTCTCAAGTTTTTCCAATGCTAAGATATCGGTTTTGAGATGAGATGACCACATCTGTAGGCAGGACTCAAGATTTATACAGTCCCATGGATTTATACAGAGGCAATAAAATATTCTCTGTCTTATTCTCTGTCCCTTTTTTAACGATTCCCAACTTTCTGGGACCTGTGTTCCAAACCCCTCCTCATTTTTGTTGTCCTTTTCTCAAGTTTTTCCAATGCTAAGATATCGGTTTTGAGATGAGATGACCACATCTGTAGGCAGGACTCAAGATTTATACAGTCCCATGGATTTATACAGAGGCAATAAAATATTCTCTGTCTTATTCTCTGTCCCTTTTTTAACGATTCCCAACTTTCTGTTGGCTTTTTGGACGGCCGCTGCACACGGCAGGGATGTGTGCAGAGAACGCCAAGCTCTCTCTTTCGAGTGGTCATCGTGAATTGAGTCCCCCTCGTTTTGCACGTGTGGGTGGGATTATGCTTTCCCAAGGCCTGCGTGGGATGCTCAGGGCTTTCTTTTTCTCCCAGGTAAATTTCAAGTGGTGATTCAGAAATCCTGACCTGGCGCCGGTGGCTGGGAACGGGTGGAAGAGAGACGGCGGAGCAGGCGGCAGCCCTGTTTCAGTAGAGCTGGTTTCTGGGTACCGGGACGTCCTCGTTTTGCAATAAAGCGCGTTTGATTTTCGTTCGTCTGTGCTGACCTCTCTGTAGCCACCCAGCTCCTGTCGGGCGGGCGTTCGGGGGCTGGCGTTCTGGTGCTACGGACATGAAGGAGCTTGAGCTGATGGGCTGCGTAGAGTAGCCGTGCCTCTCCGTCTGAGGGGCAGGAGCAGAAAAGGCCTGCGGTGACCTGAGGTTTGGGTGTGATTCTCAGGTCTCCGGGTAAACAGAAGAACAGAAGAGCAGCCAGACGGGGTCAGACCAAAGGTCCATCTAGCCCAGTATCCTGTCGGCCGACAGTGGCCAGTGCCAGGGGCCCCAGAGCGAGTGAAAAGAACAGGGAACCATCAAGTGATCCCTCCCCATCAACCATTCCCCACCTCTGACTAACGGAGGTAGGGACACCATTCCTACCATCCTGGCTAATAGCTATTGATGGACCTAGCCTCCAGGAATTTATCTAGCTCTTTTTTGACCCCTGTTAAAGTCCTGGCCCTCACCACATCCTCTGGCAAGGAGTTCCACAGGTTAACTGTGCATTTTGTGGGCAGAAAAGCTTCTTTTGGTTTGTTTTAAACCTGCTGCCTATTCATTTCATTGGGTGACCCCTCGTTCTTCTATGGTGGGAACAAGTCAATAACTTTTCCTTATTCGCTTTCTCCACACCAGTCATGATTTTATGGACCTCTGTCCTATCCCCCCTTAGTCTCCTCTTTTCCAAGCTGAAAAGAGCCTCTTTTTAAGAGACTCTGAGTCCCCTGCTGGTCCTGGACTCCAGGCAGCGCCTCCGCTTTGAAACGTACAAGAGCCCCAGTGGAACGCCACCTCTGCGCCCTGCGCCCTCCCACAGAGGTGGAGCTGGGGTGGAGGACTGGCTTTTAAGCTGGCTCCCTCCAGCACCCCCTTCTCTCCCCCCCCCCCCCC